TAAGAGCCATCTTCCCACTACCTGCCATATAACAGCCACCTCCCCATTCTTTATGCTGCTTTAATTTCCCCCAGGCTCCCTCCTTGAACTTACTGAAATTCTTTTAATCTTGAAAGCATTCTCAATTTGTGGGGCAGAGTTGTAGCTGTACAAGTTGCTAATTTCTCTCATGCTGTGGAATACAGAAAGTATCAGTCTTTTCAAATGAGACCTCCACGCCCTGAATCTGGGTAATTTCTCCTGCTTTAATCAGCTGCTGCAATGTGTTGCCCTTTAAATCATTGGGAAATTGATCTAGCTGATCTATAGTGCCTACCTCTTCCCTTGAATAGCAAATACATTCCTCAAACAAAATTCATTTCTGCTTAGAGATTGTTATAGAATTTATAGATCCATTTAGAAACAAAATACTTTACATATTATGTTCCTGGAATAATTAGGCATTAATAATAACAAACGCAGAAACGATAACAATGAGGAGAGACTGGCATTTCATAGAAGCCTGCTATGGTTAATACATTAGAGATAGAGAAATACGGTTAATGGAAGAAACTTAATGAGCTACTGGTCCGGGGAAATGTTATCATTTGCTGTATATACACAGCAGTAAATGAAATATTTCAGAAAGGTCAGTCAAAGAATTCTGCTTTTCAGTCTTCAAATCTCCTTTTTAGTTAGAAATGGTAGTTCATGCCTGTAATCCCAGCACTTGAGAGGCTGAGACATGAGAATTGTTATGAGTTCAAGGCCAGCCTGGGATCCATTGTGAATTCTGGGCCATTGGTTGTCTTCTGACCTCCAGGAGTGTGGGGTGGCATGCATATGTATCCGTGCATTAACACACACACACACACACACACACACACACACACACAATCATTCAGTCAATAAATCCATATAAATTCAAAAAAAAACTTTTCTCTTTTTCCTCTATTAAGCAAGTTTGTACCAAACAAATACACTGATTGTTACTTCCTTTAAAAAGCACCTATGAAAATAAAGGTTGTGCTTTGCTCGTGTTCTTGGTGCTTGGAGCTGTACCTGATGTTGTGGAGGTGCTCAACAAACATTTGTTAAATGAATTATCAAGCAAATACGAAGCTGACAACTAAGGGATTTCCCCCTTCCATCCCCTTTGTACAGAAAGCAGATGGCTGGTTTCTGAACTTTCTGTCAAATAGCTACGACATCAAGAGTCTAAAAGAGCCATTGTAGGCATACTTTTTAAAAACTTTTTAAATTTTACTTACGTTTCTTATATCTCTTTCTCCCTTCTCTATCCCAACACCCCAACATCGGGTAGGAGAGAAAGAAGGTTAATAGGGAAGAAGGGCGTAGTTTTCCTTAGCTGCTTCCTGCTGGTTAGGGTTGTTGGGTTTCTTGGGGCAAGTCCAATCCTCATTTCAGGATATCGCCAACTTCTCATCAGGCTGGATCAACAGAAACCAGGAGCAGCAGGGGGCAAGCACCAGCAGCCTTCTCTTTCTCAGAGCCCCCCCCCTTCTCTCTCTGGGCTCTGGCATTATCCTTCTCCAGAGTCCTCAGAATTAAACTATCTGCAGCTGGCAAAGAGCCTCTCTCAGAGACCACACGAGGCAAATAGTTTGCTGGTGTGAACAATCTGAATCAGCCCCATACCCCACACCTGGGATTAAAACAAACCTGTGTTTACATATCATAAACCAAAACTTCCACAACAAGACATTCTGTACCTTCTCTGGGGAACAACTGGATGGTACCAATCCTTCAAATAAGAGGAGTTATACAGATAACTGTAAAACATCCACCATAACCAGCAAGATATAATTGGTGTTATACAGGAAGCTATGGTGACTCCTTGACCATCACATAAGAGCAGTTCATGATTTTCATTCCATCTAGAAATCTAAAAATCCTGTCTCCTCTCACCATAGTGTGACAGAAACCGAGAAAGAGGACATATGGGAAACCAGGATCAAAAAAAGACAAACACTGTACCTGATCTCCTGTCTTGGACACTTAACAATGGGACATCCGCTGAGAAACATGTCCCAGGGAACATCGGGCCATTGTGTGAACATCACAGAGAGCATTACACAAATCTGGATGGCATCGGGGATTCAGTCCACAAGAAAAATGTCTTCTACAGATAAATGCCCTACCATTTCCAAAACTCCTTCCAAAGCACCTTGATGGCGGCCCTCCAGACTCGGCTCACTGAGCAAAGGTCCTCCAACCTCTGAAGCCACTCGGAAACAGAAATAAATTTAGATCTGCACTTGAGGCCAAGCTTTTTTTTGCAACATTGAAAACAAACTTCTTGTTTGGACCATGAGTGTAGTAGTGTTAGAATAAATGCTGGTCTTTCAATGGCCTCGTTTAATTTTATTCTTCAAGCTCACACCCATGATGCAATGGCACCTGATGGAGTGGCAACCAATGACCACTTCTTTTCTACCTTTGTAGTTCTTAGCCACTCTAAATTTGCTTTCTAGGTCAGTTACTTCATGTGGCCTCTTGCTGCATCATTAGCAGTGAATTCTGTCAGGGCCATGGTGAACAAGGCGACTTGAGCTTAAATTAGCACAGAGAAAATGATTCAAGCAAGGAATGTGGTAAACACAAAATGTGCAAGGCTGCTCCTGCTGGCTACCTTCCTAAGTATGGTCAATGGTTGGCAATGGTTGTGCCGTTCTGGACTGCAAAAAGTATCCTATTGCAGTTAGAGGAGGAGGGGCACCATCAAATACAAATAAGAACGAAAACACTGTTTCTGTCGAATCCAGCATTCGTGTTCAGAGCAGCACGTAAGAGGGAGACGAAGCTGACCCAAACCCCCTTCTTTATCCTAAAGAAGTACAATATCCACACCGAAACTGAATTACTTTCCCGATGGGTTGGATTTCCATGACATTAATCTCCTATTTCACAGTAAATTGATGTGAAGGTGAACCTCTTCCCTTTAAACACACACACACACACACACAGAGAGAGAGAGAGAGAGAGAGAGGGAGGATATGAATGTCTAGTTATGTAAGATGATCTGAACAATATTGTTATTGTTTGGGTAGGGGACAATTACTGTTTTGAGAAAGGATCTCACTATGTAGCTTAGAATGGCCTCAGAGTCATAATCCTCCTGTATCAGCCTCTTAAGTGTTTAGGCTCTGTTCTTAGATATCTTTGGCTCATCCCCCCCATAGACAGGATGCTCCATCCCACTCAGCAGCCTTTCCCAGCTCACCTTGCTTCCCTTCCTCCTTCCACCCCTTGCCGCTTCCTCTCCATCTTTAGGCAGTCTTATTTTCACCCTGCAGGAAAAGGAGGGCATCACTCCCAATATGACCGCTATGAAAGAGGCATAGTGGGAGACAGAGGAAGAGGACTGTCAAAAAGCAGAGGAGGAATACAGCCAAGAGCAGAGGCATAGCCTTTTTAGCCACAACTTGCTAAGGGGGGGTAAATGATACCAAAGCCTGGCAGAATGTTCGGTTACCATTTACATATACATAACCATATTTTAAATAGCTATCATAAGACGATTTTAATCTTATTCTATAGTAAGGAACAGGACATTCTCAAAGAATTTTTTGTTTTCCTTCTAAAGTTTCTGGTTAAAAATGTATGTTAGTCACTGTTCCATTGCTGTGACATGACACCATGAGCAAGGCAACTCTTATAAAAGAAAGCATTTAATTGGGGGCTTGATTAGAGTTTCAGGGACTTGGTCCATTCTCATTATTGCCAGGAGCATGGTGGAGAGCAGGGATGGTGATGGAAAAGAATCTGAGAGCAACATACATCCTGTCCATAGGGTGTGGGGAGAGAGAGACTAGGCCTGGCATGGGCTTTTGAAACCTCAAAGCCCACTCCCAGTGACACACTTCCTCCAACAAAGCCACACCTTCTAATCCTTCCAATCTTTTTGAATAGTTCCACTCCTTGATGACTCAAATATATGAGCATATGGGGCTATTCTTATTCAAACCACCACACTTGTGTTAGCTTTCTATCACTGTGACAGAGTACCTAAGATAAACAAATGAAGGTAGGAAAGGTTTGCTTTGTCTTGTGGCTTCAGAGGTTTCAAAGCATGGGCACTTAGCCCCATGGTTTTGTGGGTTAAAGTGGACTATGTTAAGGTGGTTTTTCCTGTGGAGGAAACCTGTTCACCTCCTGTCTCCATGCCTCCCAAGCCTGGTGACCTGATTTCCATTCCCAGAACCCACAGTGAAAAGAGAGAATTGACTCTCAAAAGTTACCTTCCGGCCTCTGTGTGCTCACGTGCACACACAGAGTGATGACGCACATATACACTAAAAATACAATAAAAACATTAAAATGGAGATCCTGCCTCCTGCTACTGTGGGCTCAGAAACGGGAAGAAAACTTATTCCTAAGACTGATTGTCTCACTCAGCTCCAGAGCTGCTCTGTGAGGCTCCAATGGCAAGGTCCTATTCTGCTAGACCATGTACTGCTGACTCCTGACTCCAACACCTGAGCCAAAGTCGGAGAAGAGCCAAATACAAATAGGGCACTAACCTCATTCCAGATCCCAAATGCTAGTATACAACCCTCAAAGTTCCAAAGGTGCCTGCTGGCTTTAGCCAGCTCTGAGTCTCATTCAGGAGCCTTCAGAGATGTACATGCTGACAGAAAACACATGGTGGCCTCCGGCTCATCTTTCCTTTTCAAGGCTGCGCTGGGGGATGGAGGCTCTCAAGAAGGGCTGTTCTGAGAAGTCATGCTAGACCTCTTCCTGTGAGCGCAGCAAGTCAACCTTCAGCCTAGGCCAGACCTGTACATGCACACGCGCGCGCGCGCACACACACACACACACACACCTACTATTTCAAGTCTGTGAAGACCCTACAGAAGAGTATTCAAATGCCACTTCTTGCTCTCTGCCTCTGGCCTCTCACAGTTGATTCCCCAAAGCCTCATATTTGAGAAGTGAAACTGAACATACCGCCACTTTCATGAAGGGGGAAGAACCTTGGAGGAGGCCTTTTTATTGAGCTTCTTTCTCATGGTCACACACAAGCCCTCGCTATGAACAGTATTGCAGCTGCCCTCCTTGTGTGGATTCTGACTTCTCCCAGCGGCAGTGGCCATGGCAGAGGGGAAGGCTGGCCCATACATATGGCCTGCAGCAGTGGAGGCTTGGAAGTATTCTACCAGAGTTGCGGTAAGAGCTTATGAAATGTTCACTTGTGGTTGTGGGGAAATTAAAGCCTACAGGTGTGGACAGCATGAGCTCTACATTGGTACGGGTGAGAAATGAGGTTTTCCACAGCCCAGTGCTTTTTCCAACTGCAGTGAGTCTTTGAGGGCCATGGGGATCCCTTTGGAACTGTGAGAAGGGGAGGGAGAGGGAGAGTGGGACAGCCTGCTGAAAATGAGAGGGAGAAACAGAGAGAGACAGAGAGTGAGAGAAACAGTCTAGATTTGGAGCCAAGAGTAAGGCTCAGACCCTCCAAGAACAAATGATCAGGGATTTTTCCAATGGGTTTTTCTTCCCAAACAATGAGCCTGGGCTGGCTTTCCAGGGCATCCATTTTGCAAACTGTGTGAGCAGCAAGACAGCGACCTCCTCCAGAGTGCTTGCCAGGCTATGCTGTGCCACCCATTAAAGCAGCAGGCACTTGGGAAGCAGCACCCAATGCCAGTGTTTCCCAAAAGGGCCAAAGACAGTAAAGGTTTGACTGGGTGATGAAGCATGCATTAGAAACTTAGTTCCCCGTGCAATGGTTTGGGAGGTGGCACATGTCCAGCTGGGATAGATCTACTGTTGGCACCACCAGCCAGAACTTAGGAGCGGGTTAGTTATGAAGTCTGAATCTGATGCCGACCCTCACCTTTTTCCTTCAGTGATATTATGACACAGTGAAGAGAAATGAGCCTTAGGATTGATTTCCAGTGGCAAATAGTTTCCAGTGGCTTTGGAAAAGGCAGACATTATAAAACCTGGAAATCTATAGGGAGATAGGGCTACTGTGTCTTGAGTTGAAGAGTGTGGACCGGAGATGCTGAGGCCTCGTGCCGGTACCACCATAAGCTGGGAGCAATGAAAGCAACTCTGGAGCAAATAGCTGAACCTAACTTCTGCCATCCAAGGACCTGACCTGAGAGACACACATGGTCAGTTTGGTTTCTGGGGCAATTTGATGGATTTGTTTATTCCTTTAAAAGGAACATTGAAGCGCATTTTAAAAATTAGGAATAAGAAAAAGAGATGATGGTTGGATGGTGAAAGTGTTAACATTGTCATAGACTGCTGGTGATACGTTCATTTAAGATATGGTATGACAGCAAGATCTGAGTCATGTGGACTGGTTGGAATTTGATTCTCCAGGTCATTCAGCCTCATGGAATTGGCTAGTCTGTGTCCAAGAATCCCTGTCAGACTACAGCCAAGTCTCCAGTGTCCTTTCACTCACCTGGAGAAGAGGCAAGAAGATTGGGTCTGTTGGGGAAGGAACAGGGACATAAGGGCTGCCTCGCTATCTGGGATGGTGCATCTATCTGGAGGCGGGACTTCCCTGCAGAGCAATTACATCTCAGGGATAATACCTGGGCGTGTGGAATAAAGGAAGAGAGGAGATGAAGTTTTCATCCAGGAATAGTGGGGAAATCAGCCAATGAAACCAAAGGATAAATGCTTTGTGGAAGGATGTTTCAGAGGCAGTTACCAGGGGATGTGATCTGTGGAAGGGAGCAAGGTTTGGATCATCAAAAGTAAATTGAAACTTAAAGGATAAGAAAAGCAGCTGTGCAGTGTCTCCTACTAGAAGGGCCTGTGTGGGTCAATGACCATGCTTAGTGCTTCATCGGCATGACCCTTGCTTTACAGGTCTGTGAAGTCAAGGCCAGAGATGCCAGCTAACTTTGTAAAGGCTATCCAGCTAACACTGTAGAAGTCAGGCTCCAGGGGCACAGAGAAGACTAAACATTAAGTAAATACTTGTGGAACCAAAACATATTGATCACTGGCCTCTCTGAATCTAAAAGCCATGCTGTTAATAACCCTGGTGTGGAGAGTTTGGGTGTTGGGCAGTGGCACAGGGGAGGGGAGAGAAGGAGAGGTCCTTAGAGAAAATAGCTGTGCATAAAGGCAAAGTGGCGGTGACATGACCAGGCCAAGTTCAGGGGGCTGAGAAATGACAGGTGAGATCAAGTCAGAGCCCTAGACAAGGGGGAGTTTGCCTGCCTTTGGCTTTGAGAAGCCCCCACCCCATCCCAGCCGCTTTGGTACGATCCCTTGGGTAGTTACTAGGGGTGTGAGTATTGCAATGGAGCCTATTTGTGACTGGAAATGAGGGTTGTAGCTGGAAGGCATGATAGATCAGGAAGAAAAGCCTAGTCACCATGAAGACCATTCAACAGTCTTCAGACTGTGGTCGTCCTGGGTACACTCTAGGGTCAGCAGAAAGGCGAGCTGAACCCTAGGCGCCCCTTCAGGGGCTGTGCTCACTCTGTCTTCTGAATGGTCCTGAGCTTTGGAAGGCTGAATGGCTGTACCCCTCCAGACACAGGGAGTCTCCCATTCTGCTGCTGCGTTGGCAGAGCAGCAACCTCAGTCACAGGCTGCCTGATGTAATGGACGCTCTGGCCAGCATGGTGTTGAGGCAGTATCAGTGCATGTCAGGGGCTTCTGGGATCCCACTAAGTACCTGGAAACAGTCTCTGTGGTGTTCAAGGGTTGTGCTTTGTTTGTCTCTTTTCATTTCCGTTGTAATTTTAGGTCCAAGAGGAGGAGGCTTAAGCCAGCAATTGCTTTCTGAATCTTTTTTTTTTTTTTTTTTAATTCTTCAAGAGAAAGAAGGAACACTTTCTGAACGTTTGGTTCTGACCAGGAAGCTGAGTGTGGTGGCACATGCATCCCAACACTTAGGGGGTAGAGGCTGGAGGATATGGAAGTTCAAGGTCATCCTTAACTGCATGGTGACTTTAAGGCCATCATGGATGGATGAGGCCTGGTCTCAAAAAAATTAAAAAAAAGAAATTTTAATCTAAGGAGGAAGTATGCAAAAATGTTTTGAAAAGCAGAAGTTCTAAGCTGTTCAAGTAAGAGAATGAAAAAAAAAAGAAAGAAAGAAAGCCAGTGTTGTCAGAGCAAAGTGCAAGAACATGTAGAGAATTTTAACTACGTTAATTCATAAGATAATATTTTGAAAAGCCGAGACATACGGTACCAGTGCCCACTGGTGCACTTACTGATATGCAGCCGCTAGTACAGTGTAGCTTATAAAAGATACAATGTATATTATAAAAATATTTATGTATATCATAAAAATATAAATTTATTAAGGGAAATAAATCAATAGCAGTGGGAGAAATGGGGTGCGCAAGAAAGTAGGAGACAGCGTTATGGAGAAAATGTCTGTGCATCCTGCCAAAAAAATTCATACATTAAGAGCCAGTGAGGTGTCTACAAGCCTGATAACCAGCAACTGGTTCCTGGAATCCATGTTACAGCAGAAGGAAAAAAAAAAAAACCTGATTCCGCATGGCTGTCCTCTGACCTCCACATACACACCACCTCATGGGTATGCCCACACTCATGTACACACATCATTCACTTATGCACACAGACTCACACAATAATAACAAATTTTAATTTATATGTTAAATCCTATTTATAAGAGGGTGGTATGTATTAGGAAGTAAGGCTTTTGCAAGGAAGGCAATTAGATCATAAAAGCTGAACCCACATTTCTGTGAGATTTTTTTTTCCTTTCCAAAAAAAAGACCCCTGGAACCAGAAGACCACTTGGAGAACCCAACCCTGCTGGGCACTCAGATCTCAAGCTTTTAACCTTGAGAACTCTGAGAAATACAGATTTCTTGTTCAAGCCCCTCTGTTGGTAGAAATTTGTCACAGTAGCCTGAGTCAAGAGAAACAAGCAAATGAGGTCAAAACATATATAACAGATAAGTCAGGGGAAAGACAGGGTTTAGTTGCTGGAGTTGGCAAATCTCATTCAAACTGTTGGGGAATACTCTAGGCCTCAGCCGAACTGGTAAAGTGTTTACAATATGACCATGAAGACCTAAGTTCAATGCCTAGAACTCGCATAAACATGCTAGGTGTGGTAGTGTGTGCTTGTAATCCCAGCACTGGGAAGGAAGAGACAGATACAGCCGCAGGTATCACTGGCAGGCCAGCCTAGCCCAGTTGGTGAGTTTCAGGACAGACGAAAGACTCTGCCTCAAAAATTAAGGTGGATATCACCTGAGGAACACCACCTGAGATTGGCCTCTGACCTCCATATATATGCACCCACAGACATAGACACACACATACAACTCACATACACATCCAAAAATAAGTAAGAAAAAAATATATACATATACATATTTAAAGTGCACATTAATCATTTCAGGGTTCTAAGGGATTCACTGGGTTTCTAGGTCACTGTGCTGCCTGGCCCTCACTCCCTCGGAAGCTCTAAAAGAGAAAAGTGCTGCATTTTCCAGCATACAACTTTGCTTTTTAGTTCAAGGTTTTTCCTTCGTCTTCAGAGGCAGCCCTGTAGCATCTTGTTTCAGTCATCCCATTACTTTCTTACACTGTGACAAAGCCCTCTACCTCCTTCCTGGGGGCATTTAGATGAGGATGGCCTCCCAAACACAAGATTCATAACTTCAATAGCAAAGTCTCTGACCACATACAGTAACATTCATAGGTTCCAAAGATGAGGACATGGGTGTTTTTGATGATCGTTTTCCAGCCTACTATGGGAGAGATAATATTTTACCTTACGGGGCTGTGTAAGGATTCGGTGAAAGAGACTATGGGAAAGGTTCTCCTCCTATATTACATGTTTCATGAATCTTTGTCGTTGGTAACTTTATATGATATGATGCAATCAATAGAACAGTGGTTCTCAACCTTCCTGGTATGACCCTCATGTTGTGGTGACTCCCAACCATAAAATTATTTCACTGCTACTTCCTAACTGTAATTTTGTTGCTGTTATGAATTGTAATGTAAATGCCTGATATGCAGTATATCTAATATGTCACCACAAGAGTAGTCTGAGTGACAATGAGTGTTTTGGGGTTACTTACAGGAGTTGTGGGTCAGAGGTTACCTACAGGAACAGAGATGACTAAAAGGAATTTGCATCATCAAAAGCTACTCCAACAAAAGGGAGACTCACAAAAGCTGAAACCCTGGATCTG